TTTTATGCCAATCATACGTCAGTAAGACTGGGGAAGAGCACGCAGCCTTTCCCGGGGCCACCGTTTGCAGACCCCGAGCCAGGGCATTATGTGATGAGCTGGTAGCTCCACCCGAAGACTGACGGGCGTTCTGGAAGGACAGAGCAGACACTTCAGAAGGAAACAACGCATTTCTGTTCCAAGGGAAATGGAGGCGAGGGAGGAGGCAGCTGAGACAGGGTCTGTGTGTCAGAAAATGAGCTTCTGTGCGAGAAGCTGTGAGAAAAAGTGCACGACTGAAAAGGTGCGCGTGTGTGTGCGGGCTGGGGTCGGTCAGCTACACGCAGTGTGCACACGACATGGGACCGCGCAGGCATCTAGGCTGTGGCATGGAGAAAATTCTCGAGCACGTGTCTGAGAGAAGGTGTAGGTGAGAGTGACAGTGTAAGAAAGAGCGTGGGTGACGAGTGAGCGGCTCGCGTGGGTGACTGGTGTGTCCTGTGAGACTGGGAAGGTCTCAGACCGAGCAAATGCGTTCAATGCTCATGGGTGCGAGTCCCCAAGCAAGAGCCTGTGTGTGTCAACCAGACAGAGCTGAACCCCAGACCGGGTAGGCCGATCTCTGCTGCCATCTGCTGGCCGTGAGAACGAACTACCTGGGAAAGCTCCCCTCGGTCCCCTCACTGCCCAGGTGCCCAGACCCTGAGCTGAGCAAGTCAAATCCCTCCCGCCCCACACATGTCAGCAGGGAAGCTCTGAGGGTGTGTGTCTGTCCACTTCTGCTCCTCCGGACAAAGATGCCCAGGTCACCCGCATGACCCTCCCACCATCCAGATATGGTCCCAGCTGCATAGCCCAGAGTGTGACATCTGACACTTGGGGCCCTCGGGACATATTTGCTATTGAAGAACAAAATGAAGTACATACAGCTGGAATGAATAAATGAGTCATTAATGAATGAATTGATTCTCCTTAAATGTCAGTTCCTATTGAGAAATATGGTGGCTAGAATACTCTGGAAAGAGCAATAAATAGGGAGACTTTGGGTTTGGTGATTCTGTGTATTTCTCTGATACTGTAAGGAAAGAAAGAAAAATGCAGAAGAAATAATGTCATATTTCAGCTCCTAATGTTTATGGCTTCTGCTGTTCTAGGTGATTAATTTATATTGTCTTCCCCCTTTTGAAAAATGAGGACCTTGAAGAGAGAATTAAGCTCTCTGGTTTTTAAGACTTCCTCTGGATTAAGCAGAACTGTGACATTTTATTTTTGTTTTCTTCTGCTTCTTTGAAAAGAAATGAAGTGAAGGCTCAGAGGGATAAAATCATTAAAGACGTGATGGAATCAGTGAAATGGAGGGCCTGACGTAAATGAATAAATGACCACCAGGCTAAGTTGTGGAAGACCAGGATCTGGAGGGTGGAGGGGTCCACCTCCCCATCGTTGGTAAGCTGGGACCCCTCTCCCTGCAACCACACCCTGAACTGTCCTTCAGGCCGGCTCCCCATGCCCTCGGGGGCCTTGGTCTAAACATCCAGACAAATGCAATATGAAAGGACCTCTAACAAAATATTTTCACAATGTTCAGTTACAGTTGTGTATTTTATTTTTCAGTTTTCCTTAATGAGAAAACAGGACTTCAGAGCTGTAATGTGTTTTTGCTTCGGTTTGAATTGAGCAGAGTAGCCAGCAAAACCCAGCAAATGATTGCTCAGGAACTGAAAGAATTTAATTCAATCATCTCAGTATATAACCTAATCTTCCGCAGCCCACCCCCACGAGTCCAGGATTTTCATTCTTACTCTCCAAACTTGGCTCACCTAGAAGTCATCTGAGACCACAAGGTAACTTATCTGAGGACTTATAAAAAAGAAATACATCTCCTTTTATG